TTGACCGCTTTTGGCCAGTGCCTATTAATACGAGCTGATGTCACCACTGTGTTCTTCCTCTTTTTCTCCCCGTAGTCATATGTCTGATCGTGTAATGAAATGCCGTCTTTAACTTTCTCGTAGTATTTAATTCTTCCTGTTCTTTCGTTTACTGTTATCATAAAGCATCTCCAGTGGAAAAAAAAAAATTGGCAAAGTATAGAAAGCTCTTTATTATTCACAGTGGATATACAACGTGTATGTTTTTTATAAAATAATTATGTCTAGGTATCTCCACCTGGTTTTGGAATATTTGCACAGATAAATCTAATTTGATGTCTGTGATTTTAAAATACTTTGTTTATAGGCATGTGTGACATATATGTTACTAATAAAAGTAATAGTTGATTTAATTTACGTGTTGTAATTGAAAGTGCATGTAGCATATTGCATTTAGAATTAATTTTGATACTAATGAAAGCAGGGAAACAGGATTATTAGATATGTTCAAACCCATATTTTTTGCTTGCAATGTAATTATTAAATTGATTGCTCAGATAGGAACAAATTGTTGTTTAAAATCCTGATTCTGCTATGTTTCCTCTTCTAAAAAGATTGTCTTTTAATGCATTTCCAAGCTAATAAGCCTTATAAAATTCTGTACTTGATCTTGAATTAGTTTTCACTGATGGCTACACCTTATCAAAGTACGAGTTTGTTGTTAGTATAAAAATATCAGTCACAAAATGAAGACCCCAAAACAGCCTTTTAACGTAAATCACTGCAACAAAAAAAGTTTTTCTTGTCAGCTATGGCATTTGAAGGTCTGTAGAGGCTGAAAGTTCATTAAGTGTGTTGGTACAAAGCGGGACTCGAGCCTGTTGATAATTGCTCCTAAAGACAAACGTGAAGGCACCTGACACAGCTGGATCGAAGAGAGCTTTTGTTGGCTGTCTGTGCTAAGAGGAGAGACAACATAGAGTGCTCGTAGATGATTTAAGTAGGGTTGGCGTGATAAGGTTATCTCAAACTGCAAGAGTTGATAGGGCAGTAAGAGACAACTTAGAGCAAAGCTGTGCAATCAATTAAAACTGTGTAATATATGCTGCATGAGGAAACCCCCCAGCCCTAAGTCTATATTATAAAATAACATTATTTTTTTGGGGTGGGGGGGTTTCTAACACAGTAGGTTACAGTCGCAACACAAGCAGTGTTTCCCCGCGAGGATATGTTCCCAGCAGTACTCCTCAGCAGTCCAATTACAACACAGTCAGCAATAGCATGAATGGATATGGCAATGCCGGCATGCCCAATCTAGGTGTACCAGGTTCCCCTGGATTTCTTAATGGCTCCTCAGCTAACTCTCCTTATGGCAGTAAGTGTCTATTTTTGGTAACGCATCATCATATAGATTCATATTTACTACAAAATCAAATACGTGCATTGTTTTGATTTCCTATATTGTGAGCTACTGGATAAAAGGAGGGGTGACTCTGGAGGCTGGACGTAAAAATGAATATAATAAATTGATCTGTTTGTGCCATAATACAATCTCAGATAGAAAAAAAAAAATTGGACTGCGCAATTTGTAACAAAAGTCCAACACAAAAGAGTTTGCCTGTT